GCGCTCAATTTCAGTCGGCAGATTCTTAGCATCAATTAGTTCTCTCAATCAGCAATCAATCGGTTTTCCCGGTCAGCAGACACAACATTCAGAGCTAGCATTCGGATTCGGTATTCAAAAGTAGCAACTGGGAAAACAGTTTTCTGAAAACAACATTTGAAGAAACAGTACTCTGAGCAGTATCCAGAACAATATTAAAAAAACACTCAATTGGCGGACGTCTGTCAATCAAACACGGTCATTTATCCTCCTATCAAGAGGTAGCTACTTTTCCGAACACATGAGAGAGATCAACCCCATCACTATTGATCAGTCGGTTCTTGACAGCCTCAATCTAATTGCTGCCAAGGAAAGCTTCCCCTACAAGTATGTCAAGATCGACGGGTTCAGGCGAGAGGATCTGTCAATCTTCATTGCACTCACCGAGTTCTCAGAGGGCACAGTCAGTGACTTACGGATCTTTTTGAAAAAAGGGAATGAGACACACCCTCATTTTGACGCTGTATGGGCACCAACCGCCGGGTTTGTGCAGTGGAAAACCGAGAGACTCGAGGGTAATACAAAACTGGTCTATAGTTTCGATCCTAAGCTCTTCACGGATTATCCTAAACCTCCTGTCCCCTACTATCTTACTGATGGCTCTTATTGGGGCGGTCTGGCGGACTTGGCCAAGAGATACAGATCGCCGACAGTGATTGATTATGAGGCGGTGACCGAGCCCTCTCAGCCCTATTTCCCCACACTATGAGAGAAATTTTGTGTCATGCTTGACTTCCGTATCATGGGACTTGGCTAGAAGTGTTTGGAATTGGTAGGCTTCAGGTGACTGTACATTCAGAAGCCACAACCTCAGAGAGTACGGAGGCATGCCAAGAAGCCCAAATGACAGACAACAAAGTGAGAGACAGAGAGAAGTTCAGAGGGTTGAGTGAGGACTTTTGATTGGTGCTGGCCATGCTCTCCTTCATATGTACTCCCTGAGACTATTATGAGTTCTCATTTTTCCCTCATTCAATTGCTCGTCGTTGCTTAAGTCAGCCAGTCTCACTTCTTGCATTTGTTTTGCCTGATGATTGTCCCCTTGGATGATTTTGTCACTGTTCTCAAAATCAGATTGACATAAGTGATACATGCATAGCACCCCATAATTTTATGATTGCTAGTTGCATGATTCTCTGTTGTTCCGAATCAAAATGAAAGATTGCTAAGACCGGGGACCGACGAAGACCGCAATTGAAGGGTTTCGCTCGAAGCCGGACGCACACAACAGGAAGGGATTTGCATTTATTTAATTTACTTTATTTAGTGCAATCAAATACAAAATCCTGTGTGACAGCCTGTTGGTTTTCTGGTCGCTTGAAGAGGCTCAACTGGAAAAAAGTGCGACAGCACGCTCGCAAGAGATAGATAGATAGATAGATAGATAGATAGATAGATAGATACATATATATATATATATATATATATATATATATATATATATATATATATATATATATAGAGAGAGAGAGAGAGAGAGAGAGAGAGGTGTGTATGCGTGTGTGTGCGCGCGCGCGCGCACGATTGGTGGCGGGGGGCTGGGGCGACCCCTCCCCCACGAATCAATCAATCAATCAATCAATCAATCAATCAATCAATCAATCAACGAAAAAAAAAAATCGACGAAACTAATCAATCAATCAATCAATCAATCAACGGAAAAAAAAAAAAAAAAAAAAAAAAAAAAAAAAAAAAAGCGTTTTTTTTCTTCTCAATTTCGTTCGATGTCGCCCATACACCCCCAACCAAAAGTTGATCTTTTTCGTTTTTTTTTTGTTTGGGGGGGTGGGGCCGGGGATGCGCCGCCACGTGGCGTCTCCCGAATTTCGAAAGTCGCTCCCCCAACTTCAAAGCCGCGCGTCTGCGCGGACGCGTCCGCGGGCTTGCGGCCTAGTCCGCGTCCGCAGACTTCGCCACGGTTGTCCGCCGCCAAGGGGGATTCATAGGCTAACTAGTCCTCTTCACCCTTCATCAGGGGTCCAAATACCTTCTGTCTATTACTGGTATTATGTCATAAGCAAAGATGATTTTGGATTCAGCAGCTGTGAAGAAAATACGCATTGAGTCGTTCGGGACAGAGGGATAGAGAGAGGCTACTTCCGTCAATAGGATGAGCAAAATCTGAATCTTCCACTAGAATATGGACATATACACTGCTTTCCGGCCATGTGGGCAGAGAGATAGAGAGAGGCTACTTCCATGGATAGGATTTCCATGTTCTAGCGGAAGATTCATTCGATATTGCTAATTTCGTAGAGTCGTTCCCATTAACAAGCCATGATTTATTTTAGGAAATGTACATTTCCATGTTCTAGCGGAGGATTCATTCGATATTGCTCATTTCCTAGAGCAGTTCACCTTAACAAGCCATGATTTATTTTAGGAAATGTACAATGTATGGGCCACTACAGGAGCACCCAAATGGTGGTTTAAGGAACCGGGTGTCTCCATCTGAACGGTGGGACTGGTTTATGTGCCAAATGTGCGCGCGGCGATACCCCACCATCCTGGCTGCGCCCCCATGCCCTGCGTGGTATCAGTCCATAGATAGCAAGATTGATCTGCTTTTCTGCATGTCTGGATAAAATATGTCCAGATTCAGGCGCTCGATCAGGATCAGAGTGACAAAACACGCATGATTGCCAATAACAAGGTTGAAGATAGGAACATCCCAGAAAACAAAAATAGAACGGAATATAATACGTCCAGATTCAGGCGCTCAATTGAGGGGAGAGACTGACCGGGAACATACTATCAGTCAGAGCATGCATAGGGGAAAGCAAGATACAGCCTTGGTGATCCCACTGCGTTACCCGCGCGCAATCTATAGAGCATTCAATCCTACCGGAAAATGGAGTTACGGGAATCAAAAAAGGGATAATTTTTGGAATGCCCGTCCAACTTCAATTTATTTGTGGCATGCCCTTCTGACGGTCGACTCCCAGGCCAGTGGCCACTACCAGCCACAGGGCAATGCTGAAAAGTTGCACCCGTCACTGACAGGGGCCTGCAGGACCACTTCAAAGGCCCCAGGGGCACGACAGGGTAAGGGCCTCGCCACACCACTCTTGAAAACTCTTTTTCAAGAGTTGCTGCATCGCCACACAGCCCCTTGACACTTGGGGCAGTCAAGAGCTGTCAGAGTCACTGTGGCTCTTGAAACCCTTTCAAGAGCAGCTCTTGAAAGATTGGAAACCCCAGCCAGCCTGCAACTCATGTGTTTCAAAGCGTCCTTGGCAGAACCCTTGACGAACTTTCTATTTTCAAGAGTTGTCAGGCCGTTATCCTGACGCCGTGCGGAAAAAAAACAAAGCTGTATGACTGTCGTTCTTCATCCTGTGTCCAACGGCATCGCTGCCCTTTCGAGAGTGCTGTGTGGTGAGGGGCCGAACACTCTTGAGAACGTCTGAATCTGCATGTTACATAGGGTCTTGCTCCACCGAACACTCTTGAGAACGTCTGAATCTGCATGTTACATAGGGTCTCGCTCCACTACTATCTGCTGTACGATTTCAGATAGTAAGTCACCGCTCCACTTACTATCCGAAATCCACCTTCGGAAATCACCGTATGGATGTCAGATGGCGCCCTCCGGATTCACCATACGATCCCGTATAGTCATTACTCGGAGGGTGGTCGAAGGAGGTCAGCATAGCATCGCAAAATCGTATGGAGAGCCTGAAGTCTGGGCCGACAAATTGGGGCCGACAAATTGATGTCTTGTAGTGCTGTGAGAGTGTTTTGTAGTGAACTCCAAAATTGGAGACTCGTATATACGGTTTTTAGAGCTCTGACAGCTATACGGCCGCTATACGAAATTGCGTACAGCAGATAGTAGTGGAGCGAGACCCATATTCTCAGTTGTATTTCAAAGGGACGCTGAGCCCGGTTCTCAGCACGCGATGCTCCCCACGAATAGATTGGAGCTTTTGTCCCAAGGAAAAAAAAAAAAAAAAAAAAAAAAAAAAAAACGCTCTTGACATATTTCCCCGTTTCAAGAGTGGTGTGGCCAGGCAGAGGCCGTAAGGGCCTCGCCACACCACTCTCGAAATGTGAAAAAGACAAAAATGTGGCGGGGGCATCAGGCCATGTTCTAGCGGGAAGTTCCTTCCCTTCCCATTTTGCAAATTTCGACAGTGGTGTGGCGATGCCCTAAGTCGGCCGACGGAGGGGCACTCCGCAAATAAAAGGAAGTCAGACGCGCATTTCGAAAATTTGACCAAAAAGAAAATTATGGAGATGCGAGCTGCTCCCCACAAATAGATTGGAGCCTTGTTCCCACAAAAAAAAAAAAAAAAAAAAAAAAGAAGAGGACGTCAGTAATACAGATCCCTGCATAGATTAACCATGCGCGACGCAAAAGACACAAATATTGAGCTCAGTGGACTCGCTACACACGGAACCAGAAATCCACAATCAGCTCAGTCCACACACGCGGTTCATGCACCTTAGCAACAGCCACGCCACTATGTCCTTGGAGACTCTCCCAACGCACAAGGGGAGGGGCGGTTGGGGTGGGGGGAAAGGGAGAAAGAGAAGAGGCCTCTGAGAGAGAGAGAGAGAGAGAGAGAGAGAGAGAGAGAGAGAGAGAGAGAGAGAGAGAGAGAGACAGAGAGAGAGAGCGGAGGAGGAGAGAAAAGAGAAAAACGAAGAGAGTCGCCACAGCATTCCGTGAAATGCCGTGACCTCGAAAGTCTGAAGGCGGACTTATAAAGGCATAGGAAGTTGATAAATGCGTCACGCCATCTCTTATAGAATCGATAGGAAGTTGGGTTGATTGCATACTCAACTATTCCCAAAAAAAAAAAAAAAAAAAAAAAGAAACGATTCCATCGCTCACGGACGATGACTGACAAGATCCCGAACAAGTTTTCTTCTTTCTGAATTTATTAACGAAGAAGACGAACGCCCGGGACATAGTTCATCGAACTTTGCCAACAGACTAAGGCCATACGCACACAGCCACATGCGTGAATTTATCAGACCAAAAAAAAGATTATTATAGCTAAACAGTGTGAATATATCCTCGCTTAGGCAGGACAACCGTCACAGGAATCTATGGCATGGGAAATATTACCGTTGATTCCCATCGCCGGTCTCTTCTTGCAAAAAGACACAGACTGAGAGGCGGTGGGCTCGAGGTACACGTGTTCCGTCATCTTCTTTCCTCTTGGGAGAGCTATGGTGTTCCCATTGAAGAAGCAGTTGCAGAATCTAGCAGCCAGTGGACCCAGTGATGAGACGACATTGACTGCGCCTCCTCTCTCGCCCACCCTCGTCAGGGAATTGCCGACAAACGACGAGCGAGAGAAGATGACGATTCCGTAATTAGCCACGAGAACTGCCGCCCCCTCCGCCGCCTTATTCCCCTCGAATCTGCATCCAACGCACGTTACTTCCGCCCTGTGATGGCTAATCAACGGTCCTCCTTCGTTCGATCGGAAGAGGACATTGGTGGCTGTCAGACGGGTGTACATGATAGAAATCATCTTCCCTTTGTTACGGATGAACTGAGAGTTCTTGATGACGACATCGTCCGCGCCCACGACGTTGATGACGCCTGGGACATCGGTGCCAGCGAGATTGACATTACCGGACACAAGGCAGTTGGAGATGGTCGCCATGTGGAAGACATGTCCGACGATGGTCCCGATAAAACCCGCGAGTTCCAGATTGTCCAGAGTAAGTGTCTGACCGCTACCGGCGAATCCACTGAACCGCTTTTGGCCGTCGATCGTGCATCTTCTTCGACGGCCAGATCGCGTTTTGCAGCTGCCAATGACCGCCAAATCAGGACACGTCATCGGTTCCAAGTCACGTGTCAGGCGAACATCACCAGTCAGTTGCAGGACCGTCTTCGTCTTCCGCGCCATCGCCGCGCGCAGAAGATCCTCCTGCGTCATCCGGGCCCCATTACATGACACTGCCAGGCATAACAGTGTCAATGACAGAAGCAGCAGCTGTAGTCCACGTGTCAGCGACAACGGCGTCGATCCACCTCCTCCTCTCATCTTCACAGCAACACCACACTCTTCTTCTTTCTGCCTTTCGTTCCAGGACCTACAATTGACTGCGCGCTATATGATTCTTCCGCCAAGAGCACGGATGGCGATGGCGGCGGACARTGGGGGACACGAGYACAGCCTMCGTGGCAGCRGAACAAGACCGCAAAATGCACAGTGACGGCGACGAGGATGACCACGAGGCGGAGTAAGAAGAAGGCTATGGTGGAAGAGGAAGCCTATGGTAGAAGAAGAAGGTTATAGTCATGAGGAGTCCGCTATCTGGGCAGCCTGCCGGAAATGAAGGTGCGTCCCAACAGACCTCAATCCGGAGCATGCACAGTAGCAGGCTTATGAAGACGAGTGAGGAACGTCTGAGTCAAGAGTACAATTCGCAAATGAGCAGGAGGAGGTGCGGGCCGCAGGAGAGACAGGATTATGAAGACGCGTGAGGAGATTGCAGACAAGCTCAAGCTCGGCTTGTCTCGGCTTGCCTCGGCTCGGTTCAGTTCAAGTTCGGCTGGAGTTGCTGCACCCGTGAGAGAAAGCGTAGAAGAAGAAGAGATGGGGCAATGCTTGTTTTATTTCTGGAGCGAACAAAGCGCCGAGAGGAAAGGGAAGATGGCAGAGCGGAGGAGATGAAGGGCCTCGTGCCGGCTTCCTTTCACTTGTCGATTGCTCAAGCTGTGTTTCCTTAGAGGATTGTAAGAGGAGGACCCCACTGCTTTGCGGCGAAGCTTTGGAAGACCATTTGTAAGAGCCAACTGCTTTGCGGCAAAGATTCGGAAAATGCTGGCAAATGACGTGTCAAGAGTTTTCCAAATGACGTGTCAAGAGTTCCCACTTAGTTTGGTTTTGCCCGTTCGTCGCAGTGAGGCCATCCTGAGGGCCTCGCCACACCACTCTTGAAACGGGGAAATTTTTCAAGAGCTGTCAGAAGTTCTCAAGAGTTGGGTTTTAGAGAGTTTCGGGCCCCTGGCCACACAGCACTCTCGAAAGGGCGATGGTGTTGGACAAAGAATGGAAAACGACAGTCGTACAACTTTGTTTTTTCCGAATGACCTCAGGATAACGGCCTGGCACCTCTCAAAAATCAAGAGCCCTTCGAGTGCCCTCGGGAGGATGCTTGAAAAGAGCGGTGCTGCAGGCTGGGCGTTTCGGAGTTTCGAGAGCTACTCTCTTTTCAAGAGTAGCTCCCTTGAAACGAGGTTTTGACAACTCTCGAAAGAGTTTTCGGGCTACAACTCTCAAGTGGCTGTGTGGCGACGCGTCCAACTCTTGAAAACGCAGTTTCAAGAGTGGTGTGGCGAGGCCCTGAGGGGGTAGGGGGAAAACACCCTCGTCGGTTTGCGCATAGCACGTGGAACGGAGAGCCAGGGATTGGACGAGCACCCACACAAGCCGATGTGAAGTTTCTGAATAGGGATACAAGTGAATGTGAAGTTTCTGAATAGGGACGATGGACCTGCCGAAAACTCGTGCTGTAGCAGGGTCCGCTTTTCTGTTTCCCATGGCCGGGGTCTACGATTTGGGTTTGGCTGAAGCTTTCCACCTCCGTCAGGCAGTGGGGTCCACCTGTAAACCTGATCACACTGGCACTTAGAGGAATGTATCCAGCCATATTCACGGCCAAATCCGTGTTCCGTTTTTTTTTCCCTTTCTGTCTTTCTGGAATCTGACAACTTGGCCAGGGGGCTGAGATGCCAAAAAGTCTCCAAATTTTGAGGCATTTGGGTAGCCTGTTTGGGACTTTAGGTCCTGGTGTGGTCACAGGGGCGGACTTCGTCCAGAAAGGAAGAGAAAAGGAGGAAGCAGCGGCCCTGACACTTCGCCCTCGGGCCCAGTGTGCATAGTCACAGGGGTGAGGACCAGAGGAGTACACTGAACTTCTTCTTTTTTTCAACACGCCAAAATAAAGTAAGAAATTAGATGGTTTTTTTTCCCCCTTCTTACAAGGTACATGGGCCTGGCTGAACTACTCTCCAAATGTGCAAAATGAGACTGAGGCCTGGAACCCACAGGAATTCCTTTGGAAAAGACGTTTCCGCAGAACGGCCGTCGGAATAGTTCTGGAAAGTTTGGAAAGCCTTCTGCGGGAACCCCACCGCGGAGGCAGTTTTGCGGCAAAATCTTGAAAAAGTTTTCCGTAATAGGAAATGTCCCTGCCAACTGTCCCAAAATGGAAAGTGGTGGTTCATCCGAGTGACCACCCATGGAACGTAGGAACCAGCAACGCTCGGCACAGGGCGACTTTGGGCAGCAGTTGGGCGACCGGTGGTGGACGATTCGGGAATTGTGTCGTTGCAATCGTCATTGGGGACACTGGGTTTGTGGTACCGGGAAGGGTGCCACAAACACGCGATGTGACCGTTGGGACGGACTGCGGACGCGGTGTATATGGCTGCGAAGTCCCCACCAATCCCCAGCCCCCCTCTGACCCCTCCCCCACCGGTCGGCGGAGTGTTCGCTTCATGGCATGTGCTTCTCGTCTGGTGACATCCATAGCTCGACGGCTTCGTGAGCGGATGCCCTGCTTTGTGAACTCGGGTGTGCATCTTGTCTTCACACGTGGCAGTCGGCGAACCTCCGATTCGTGCGGAGTCGGCAGCCATGCCTGGTATTGTGAACGACTGGGATGGCTCCACGTTCCTATTGGTTTTCATCCTGCTGCAGTGGATGAACCGGAGGAACGTGGCCGCCATGGCCATGCTTCAGGCAGCCGCTGCGTTTCCGGTCGAAGTCCCCGTGTCTGTTCCGCCATCTTCCTTCTCGCAGGCGAGGTGTTGCACAGCATGTCGTTGACATGTGTGGTAGCCACTGCATTCGAGAAGGAGATGGACAGCCGGCGGCGGATCTGGGTGTTGACACGTAGTGCAGGAGTGTGGAATGACCTGCAGAAGGTGGGAGGCAGGCACGGGAAAGTTTTCCAGAGCTTTTGCAGACTGCCTAGGCCTTTGTTCAACGACATCCTCTCTCGCATGCACACACGTGTACATCGAGAAACCTAGGAACGAGCGTGGAGAGTGCTACTACGACAAGAATGGTCAATTCTCCATAGTCGCGCAGGTCGTGTGCGACCACGAGTGTCGAATTGTCAGTGTGTATGTTGGTTGCCCGGGCTCCGTCCATGACAGGCATGTGCTTCACACGTCTCCTTTGTATCGACAGTATCGTCAGGCGCAACATCAGAGCGGGGTTTTCGGGACGGGCGCGGAGGTGCTGCGTGATGGCCCTGCAATCAGTAGGTACCTGCGGGCAGACGCAAGATACCCAAACTTGCCATGGCTGATGACTCCTGTCGGCGGGACAATCAGGACACCAGCGGAGCAGGTTTGCAATGATTGTCACACGTCGGCAAGGTCGTGCATCGAGCGAACTTTCGGTCGATTGAAGGCCGTGTGGCGACACTTTATTAGAAGGCAAATTTGCAACTAGCAAACACTCCGCAAAGAGTGTTTTGCCATCTGCATCCTGCACAACATCATGGTGAATTCGAGGGTCGAGGTCGACCCCGATGCACTCTCTGACGAGAGTGACAGTGACAGTCCAAACACAGTTCGCCGTCGTCGTCGACGACGTGTGAGGCACGCAAGACCCGCACGGCATCCTCCTCCTCCAGAGCTTGGCAAGGACTTGAGGGAAAGCCTCATCGGACATGTGTTGCATCACAGTCGTGTACACGGGGCTCCTAGACCGAACCCTTGGCGGATGTGACGCTTTTTAATTTTGGTAGTTTTTAAACTTTTTTTAATTCTTGTTTTTTTGTTATTAACTTTTATGTCATTCGTCAGCCTTTTTTGATGCCGGGGTCCGTCGTGTCGGAGCTACATTTCACCACTTCCATGGCTATTTTAATTGTGGTTGCTGATTGGATTTCGTCAATTCCTCACGGCCAGTCTTCCTTTCCTCGTCTCTCTCTCTCTCTCTCTCTCTCTCTCTCTCTCTCTCTCTCTCTCTCTCTCTCTCTCT